TCTAGAGTTATTTTTTTTTCTTTTTTCAACTGAGAATTCAGATCTACAGTTACTTTTATAGCAACCAGAAGGTCAGGTACAGGGGCTCAGTTTGTGCCCTTTGCCAATCCAAACACAATTTATTCATGCTGAGTATGAGTAATTAACTGACCTTGAATGAATTACAGCAACTGGGTTATCCATCCTTGATAATGTGAGAATTATTAAGCAGCAAACTGTGAAGCCAACAGCATATCAGAAAATGTGCAAAACACACTAGCACATATCCCAAGTCCCATGAACTGCCAGGACGTTGCAGTGTAGAGAATGGTGATAGAAACATTAACACTAGTATAAATGGAGAGCGAATAGGAAGTCCTGGGACATGGGAGCAGCTTAGGGATCTGTGGCAGAGGGCCTGTGGGCATGGCACCCAGTTCATGGCACCCAGATTCATCGAGGTCCCCACATATCTAGCTGCAGCTGTTCAGATTACCTAGAAATCAGGGGGCAGCCCATATACAGACTAAAACAGAGACTCAAGTCACTAAGGAATGACAATGAGGAGACAAAGATCAGCTTGGCCCAAGGTGACAAGGGACACGGAGGAAATCCTGTTGACTCACAGAGGTGGGACAGGAGTGCCAGCCCCTAAAGGGCACACAGGTCTTTCCAGACCCACTCACCGTTGCCACCCAACGCAGGGCCCACGTGTGTGATATGGACTGAAAGCAGGCATGTTTTTTTAATCCTGCTCACCATAAAAGATCCTGACCTGGAGAGCTGGGTACAGACATCTTGATATCCAGCTACATCTCTTTGATATTTTTCTTATTTGTGGTGTCTTTGAGTTTGCTAAAAGCATAAAAAAGAGATTTTTTTAAGAACTCTAAAAAAAACCCTACATTTCTGATTTTGTTTCATTAGTGTCCCTGAAGAGACGAATTGCAAACCTATAATGCTTCCAAAATCAGGACTCTTAGGATGTGCTCTTTGGTAGTCTCAGGGTCATTGCTGGTGGTGAAACCCTGTGAGAGAATATGAAAGAATATCTGGTCTGGTAGGTTGGGAGTTGTTTGGGAGACATCTTGAGGAACGTGGCTGGAAGAGCACCCCCAGTGGTTGATATTTGGATACTTAGGGTGAGCCTCTGCCACTAAAAAAATAAATAAATGAAGCATTAGCTGTAAAGATGCAGCTAGCGGGAATCTAGACTGCAGAAGGTCGCACCTTTAGGAGAATCAAGCTGCCACTTTTGGAAAGGAAGGTTTTTCTGCTGGAGTTATGTGACTTCACTTTGATCTCTTGTTCCGAGAGATGCCCTGGTGACATTATTCATTTATAAAATTCCATTTTGTTCCAATTTAATGTGGCCTCCTGTTTCAAATTATCTCTCAGAGTCGCTGCAAAGTTCCAATGTTTGTGGGAGAACACCAGGATTCACTGCCAGCTGGGCTTGAGGCTGCAGAGAACTGCAAGGATGCCTCCCCAGAATTTGCCATTCACTCGATTAACCACTAGCCCAGTCTGCCTGAGACCTATTTTCATGTCTTTGCTTTGCGCTGGCATCCGCTGGGCATCAAATGTGCACATGTGTTTGGAGCAAGCTACGGGTTGGCTGGCACAGGTGTCTTCTGCGTCTGTCCGACACAAGCACTAACTCAGCTCTCGCTCTTACCTCAGCAGCTGCTGCAGGCTGTGCACCCTCCTGTACCCTTTTCTCCAGCCTCCTGAGGCATCTTGTTCAAACTCTATCTTCATGATGTTTTTATGCCTTTTCTGTAAGCCTCCCTTGGTCCCAGACCCGTCTTTCTTCTTTTTCTCTACTACTTCCATAAATTCCTCTTGCTGCTTCTGCGGTAACTCTCCTCTTGACTGATCTTCATACATTCTATCTGTCCGAATAAACTCCTGCTTTTCTTCCCCTAGGCACTATAATCATTTTTGCCCTTAAGTTACCTTCACCTCCCCTACCCTCCCTCAGATTCTGTCCTCACCCTGGATTTCCCTGGCATCCATACAGTGCTGTGTTTCTTCTCCCCTCCCTTAAATCCCTTCTCCTACACTAGGAAAGATCTGCCACACTCCAAGCTGCTTTTCATCTCTCAAAGACAGAAAACTCTTCTCCTGTATCTTCCCATCCCTCAGCCAGGTGCGACCATCACCTCCATCAGATTAGCAAACTGCTCCTCAGTGGTACTTGTGTTCAATGATTGCTCTGCTGGGGGTCAGAGCCGATCCAAGGCAGCAACCACCACCCTGGCTACTCCGTTAAAACGCCAAATCAAACTTTAACGATCCTTTTTCTCTTAGAACATAAGAATTTCTCTCACCACCTTTTGCGGGCTCAATAGGAAAGCAAAGCACGTGGCAGTCAGACATCCCAGAGAGCTAGCAAAGAGAATCCGCAACACTACATGAGCAAAGTCCTTCCATCGTCCCACAAATACTGCACGTGTGCGGGCTGCTTTTCGTCCCAGCTGGTGGACTCTTTTGCAATCAGGCAAGTGCTACCAAGCGCAGCCACCCCTGAAGCAACACGCAGCCTACGTGAACGCCGTGGTTGAGGCTAGGAGGTAAATGGGACTGCTGTGGATAAACAAGCTCATTCGATGCTCTCAACTCTTAATACTTGCAAATTTGCTTCCAGTCACTGTTTGCAGATACTGGAAGGATTCAAAGCCTCTTCCTTACTTAATGGGGGAAAAAAAAAAAAAAAAAAAACCCTTCCCGAGCTCCCAAGTGTTTCCTTTATGCGTCTTACCTGTAATCGCAATTGCATGCAAGTAACTAAAAATGGAAGCGTAGCAAGAAAAGAGAATTAGCTGTAGAGACAGAAAGCAGCTGGGGAAAAGGGAAAACGTACCCATGGTGCCTCTCCCAGTAGATTAATTTATTTTCAGCCTCCTAACACAGATGTGTCTTTTTCTACAAAGCAGCACAGTATTTGCTTCAGGAAAAGTCTGGTAGCAGAATACAAATGTTTGTGAACTTAGGAAGAGGCTGATAATGTGAAAGAGCTTGGAAAATACACATTTATATTTGAATGGGTAGTGCAAATCACGTCAGGAGGACACTTAGAATTAGCAGACATCAGTGAGCTGCCTTGCAAAGAAACAAACAAACAAAACCCCCAAACTCCATGCAAAACGTGACCCTTAACGAAGACAGTGGCTCTATCCTTGCTTCGTGTCCTTGTCTCCCAACTGCAGGCAGAGAAGGCGAACAGGACCAGAACACTGGCCCCAATCTGAGCAAGGGAGTTCAGCCAAGCAGCCATCCGCTCACCTATCCCCCCATAGGGGTTCACAGACTGCTCTTGCCTCTCCCTGTGGGGAATGCTGCCTTCCCCAAAGACAAGCATTCCCCAAAACAAGTCATGGTGGAAGAATAACATGAAAAAAGAGAAAGGCTTGTTGTTTCTGGTCCAAACTGTCCTTCTATCCTGACCCTCTGTACGAGCACATCAGAAACAAATAAACCAAATTCTGTAACAGCATCAGCAGAAACAGGTCAGGACTGTGAACAAGCAGGTGAGCCTTGACCAGTCTTCGCTTTAGCCCCATCAGTGAGAACGGCCCTACACGCTGGGTCTAGGTCTGTGACTAATTTCCTTTCTGAAGGGAGGAAGCAAATAAAGTTATTCCATGATGCAAGCACCAGCTTTTCTTTCAGAAGAGGCCTTGTGTTCACAGAAATCTTGATTCATAGCATATTGAAATAGCAAAAATACTTCTCTGGATTTTAGTATGTTTTGAATCAGACTCGTAGGGAGCGTAGCAAAGAAGCTTTTTTAAAGCTGTAGTTCCAATACGGAAAGACCTGCAGCTTATTTCCTGGAGTGACTCTGCTACATTTGCTTCCTTGGCTACATTTGTGATTTATGTATACACACCAGGCACTGCATAACATGATTACAGTTTTTGTACATCCCCCACCCTCCACTATCAGTGTTCATGAATTTTAAAAAGGAAAAAAAAAGAGAAAAAAAAAGGCAGGAGAACTTTGTGTTAAAGATGATCTACACACAGAACTTAAACTTTTAATAAAACCATTCTGTTAAAAAACAAAATAGGATTAGAATTTTACATAAAAATTCAGAAATTACAAAAATGGCATTACATAATAAATATAACCAGAATATGTGGGAACAGTTAGACAGGAAGATGTACAGATCTATGCAGCAAAAAATACCCAGCGGTTCCTGAGCCACTTGTGCTTCTGTTGAGGTGGTTCTGTGGTAACATGATTGCAGGACACGATACTCTCTTTCTACCCTAGCCTCTGTGCTAGTTAAGCCTCTTCTCTGGATTCAGTAACACTGAAGTTGCACGTGCCATCTTCTCTCACAACCGAGACGCTCTCCAAACGCCTGACAAAGAAAGTATCTGAAACCCAAGAGCAGCGCTCCAAGCCAAGGGCCGTGCGCTGCGGCCTGCAGGTAAAATGGCTTCCCTGCCTCGGCCGCCCACAGACACACGCCCAGCTGCTGCCCTGAGGGGCAGCGCCGACCTAGCTTTCCTAGCTAACTCGTTCTGCAATAAATGGTAACGCTCCATCCTGAGAAGTACAATTTTACTTTACGTATCAGCGAGTTCTATAAGGAGAGAGAGAATGCAGGAGGAAAGAGAGAAAGAGGAAGGGGAGGAGGGGGAAACAGGGAAGGACGAGTGTGGGCGACTGAAGACAAAGCAGGTATCTGCCTTTTTAGGCTCCTTCCTTTCCTACCCACGTCTATCCCAGCACAGAGCAAACATCCCTTGGGAACCCCAAACCACTGAGTCACAGCCCAATAGCTGCTGCTTGATCTCCAAGGTCTGTATTTGGACATACCATTAAAAAAAAAAAAAAAAAACACTGCAGACAGCGTTAGGTTATAGCATTCTATCAGAGTGCACCTTTCCCCTGCACATATACCTACTTATGTGAATCACTCCTTCATAAAGCTTTCCAATATATCTGAAATGTTAAAAATCTGTATCTAATAAATATTGTAAGAAAATATCTTTTTTAGCATTTACATATGAAAAATACAAAAGATGTGGTCATTGTAAGACTACTTCTTCAATTTCATCTTCTAAAGAACCAATGGCTTTAACTGCTGGCTTGCTTGTAGGGTGGTGCAGACGGTGTCTGCTTAGGTTTCGTTCTTCACTGAAAATCTCACTGTCGCCTTTTGCTTTGATTTTACTTTTTTTATTTACAGGAAGGGTATTACTAGGATCCCAATCTATGTCAAAAGGTGTCGTATCGTTACTTTTAGAAGTATGGGGGGAATTGGCACTGTTTCCAAAAAGCTGTTCCATTAGATTGGATTTCTTCTCTTTTTTACCACTGAAACCTATGTTTTCCTTCACATTTTCTTCCGATTGATCACTTTTTGGATTGAGCCAACTTGATCGCCCCGATCCTTTTCCAAAGGAAGGAATATAGCTACCAAATATTAACTCACTACTCAGATCTGAGGTCCTTGGATTTCTCTGCCTCTGCCCTTGTGTTCTTGTGGCGTCATCCTGGCTGTCATACTGGGGAAATCCATTAACAGCCTGCTCTGGAATCTCAAAGAATGGATTAGTTTTCTCTTTTTTCTCTAGGGAGTCAGATTTTCTTGCCGCATTTGTGTGAAGTGTGTGGGAAGAAAGTTTCATGTTCACTATGTTTTGAGTTTCTCTGTCAATTTCATGCATTTTAGCAAGCAGCAACTCTTTTTTTCGTTGCTCCTCCAGTATTTCAGGGTTTCCTCTCTCTATTTCGGCTTTATGTATTTCTGTCTCCATCTTTGTTTTTTCTTCTTTATCCACTAAAAAGCCACTTTCTTTTTTCATTTTGTCAAATTCTTCCTTTTCCAACTCTGCAGGAAATGTTTAAACATGAGTTAAAGTAATATGACTTCATAAAAACATGGTGAAAATAACACAACCAAAAGCCACAGAGTTTTTAATATGCTATTCCACGCATAGCATGGTTTTACCATTGCAAAACTAAGTTCTACAAAAATTGCAACCAAATGTACACTAGGTTTCCTACTAAGATATAAAGAGTACTCGGTCATTTTATGATGGGGTTAGGACATTATTTTGATTTTAGGGCTTCAGAAGAATTGCATTTCTGCCAAGTGCCTTCTTATTTCCTGGGCTTGAATGAGGATGAGTATAACCACTTATTAAAATAGCTCTGACTTGTAGAGTACTTTGTTTTCTTTGTCAGCACCACTAATTTCAGGACAGTTTTGTGATGCACTGTTTTTTCCTTAAGGAGAACTACTTTTGTAAAGCAATCTGGACGAAAAATAAAACTAACATAGAAAGTCATTACTGCTTTTGAGCTGTGACTCAAACTGTACTATCTGCTCTGCACTTGAGACACCTTCACACAAGTGTCCTGCCCATTTCCATGTGAACTCCATGAGAGTGACAGAAATAGCCAATGTCAGTCATATATCATTTAACCAAGCTAAATAGGTAGACACCTGTCTGTAGGTAAGATGGGAAAATAGCAGCTTATACAGTAAGATGGGAAATGGTGACAAAATCATTTTATTAAGAAATAAAATAGAGCAAAATCATGGCTTAAGTTGTGCATTGATGCAGTGGAAGTAGCAGACTTTGCACTGGATTTTTCTCTGAAAACAGCTACAGATTTTTTAGAATTCTTCCTTGCCATCTACAAGAAGTGTTTATGTTCATGCACCACAGCCACTCAAAAAGTAATTTAACCTGACTGGATATAATCCATAAAAAGCACTTCTAAATATTAACAGACTTACAAGTCTAAATGATTTCAATACATTTCAAAAAATGAACAAAAAAGAAAGTAAAATGAAAATGTAATGATACAAATTGACATCTCTCAAATGGCCACAGCCAAATGATCCAGACAACCACAAGTGAAAGAGAGAACCTACAACTTCATATGATACAAGCATAATGTCCCGAATAAAGTGCCATATTAATGAAAAAAGATTTGTTCTAATAACAAAGATCCCCAGCCTACTTTTATAGCATCTAGCAAGTTAGAAATAACACCAGCTCTTAGCTGTTATGCCATCCCAATTTCATACATGAAAAATCTGTCAGGCTTCAATATTTCTTAATGGGCAACATTTTTAGCAGTGATTCAGTATGCAGTAGCAAATTAAAAGATACAGATTACTCCTTATCCTGTATTTCTTTCTGATTCTGTTTGCATAACGTAATTGAAAATAATTTTCCACTATAGTGGTCTCTGCAAAATCACTTTGCTGCTCTCACAAGAAACCATTAACCTTCTCTGATCAGTATTCTATGTTGTATTATATTTTGCAGCTTGCAGCTGCCCATTTCCTTACCATCTTGTAGTTTCTGAACCCTGCACTCTAAAGCCTGTAGTTCCTGAACATGTTTCAGTTCCTCTTCCTTCTCTTGCTCTTGTTGTAGGAGGTCTGCTTGCTCTTTCAACTCTCTGTCTTGAATTTCTTTTTCCTAAAATAAATTGACACAAACCAGAAACTGATGGAGAAAAAAAACCTCAAAAACCCCAGCTCACAATTAACACACCCACCCTCCCTCCTGCCCCACCAAAACACAAGAACTTTTACGTTCCTCTGCAGTCGTATTTGTACTACTTAAAAATGAGCAAAACATGGAAAACAAACCAGCTTTGACACAACCCAGGGGGTTGGCCCTAAAACCTTATTACCTGTAACAGGTTTTATGTACCTGAAACAAAATTAATAGACCATCAACTCTAGTCTGTATTACAAATTTCAGAAAAACTTCCCAGTGCCAATGCTGTGAAGCATTAGGGTACAGTTCTCTTTAGAAGTCATTAGCTGTCTTTTCAAGGTCTTTAATGGAACATAGACCACCCCCTACCCCATTTAACCAGCTAGTAATTAGCTACCTTTATTTCTACAGACTGATCCCTTCAGTAGAGTGAGTGGGACACAGATTCAGAGTTTCACAGGGGTATTTTAAAGTTATTTAGTATTAAATTATAAAAGAGAAACATTCATTCTTGGATGAAAAATCCACTAACGAGTTTAACTGTGTTTAAAAAGGAAGAAAAAAATGCAGAAAAGATATTGTGACATGGAAAAAAATCACTAACAGGCAGAAATAATGGCAATAAATTAGAGAGAAAACAGCTTAATCTGCTATTTAGATGCTTTGTCACTGGCATTTATGTCTAAGAGCTCAATATGTGTCTTTGAGAAATGAAATAGTTTCTGCTTAATAAACAATGAAAACAGAACTATTACCCAGAACAACCTCAAATATTTTTCCTCATGTGCCTGAATTTTGTTTTTTAAAAAAATGAACTTCAGAGCTGGCCATCAAATATTCAAAATGCCTGCCTTAGAAAACTGATGGAAACACAGATTTCCCTTAAAGCAATGTCTGCACACTAGCTAGAGGGATTTGTAAAATGACGTAGAATTGGTCACCGTGAGCTCCGCTCGTAGCTACTGGGCGAGTAAGCAAGCTGCATACCCAAATGCAGGGAGAATGCATACATTAAATGACACTGACATTTACAGAAAGGATTCTGGAAGAGAGGATGTGAGAATGAAATTGTCAGCCATAAAAAGGGTTCCTTCCTATCAGGAGAAAGATCAAGACAATAACCACTATTTCTTACAAATATTTTTAACCTTGTATAATCAAGATCAGTTATTTGTACAATTTGTACAAGCATCGGTGTAATTTTACTTTTTAAAAAAAAAACTTTAATAAAAATGTGAAGTCTCAAAAGTATTAGAAATTTCAAGATACTATTTTATAATAAAAAGGGAAATAGAAAAACAACAAAAAATTCCAACCACATTCACACAGCTGGACAAATGACAGAAGAAATACCAAAACTATGACCATAAGAGGAAGTGTTGGATTTAGGCATTGTGAAAGAAAGCTGGAAAGTAAAAGAGTCATAATTAAGACCAAACCAAAAGAAGAGATGAGGCAGCCAGCACTGTGTTACAACAGATTGTTCAAATAAGCATTAGAAATAAAGAAAAGGGAAGAAAAACAAAATGAAGTCTGCTAAAAACTTCAAAGAAATGACAATGGCAGAAAAAGAAACAGAGCGAGTTATTGGCAACCAGTAAAACACACAATACGAGAGATTAAGTGTCACAAAAATGCAGTATTGTATGCCTGTAAGTTTACAGTTCCCCTTCATATTTTAATAATTTATCAATTTTGTCATCGGCATATTTATATTTGTATATTTATATGTATTCCAAAATATAAACTGAGCATTAGACAGTCCTATAAGTACATTATTTGGAGCAAGTAAAAATTTTTATAGAACTCACTATTCTGGGAAGATTCCTTTCTTTCTTATTTATGGCCTCATCACAAACAAGTTCTGATTCTAGAGGAAATTCTACTGGTGAGAAGTATCCACTGGTTTGTACTCCTTTTGTGAGCTGTGCTCCTTTTTTAGTATTTTGGTTTTTGGCTGTAAAAAAGAAAAAAAAAAAGCAAACAAGTCGCATTTTCACTTGAAAATACCCCACGATATATCAATCCCCCATTTTTAAGTCTTTGCAGCTTTGCAAAAGGAGCATATCAGAACCAATGAAAGTGGGAAGTGTTGACAAGTTTCATTTAATTGTTTTCAGTACCTGGAAAAGCTAATTAAAACAAAAAATTGCACGCAAAAAATTCTATGGAAACAAATCCCTAAATTGAAAACAAACAAACAAAACAAAAACTAAAACATAAAGAAACAACTAAAAAAACGCCCTTAGAACTACTCATAAAATCATTAGGGTATATTAAACACTTTTTAAAAATTCCTGTGAAATATCTTGTTCATCTTCTTATTTCTTGTCACAGAGGCTACACGTAGAGAAGCAAAGTCACAAACTTGAAATTCATTTGTTTGCATCTTTATGGAATAACTTTAAAAAAATCTGAACGTAAAATGGAAAAATAGAACATCAATACTAAAATGGGCAGCAGATAAATGCTTGAACTGCTGACATTAAAAATTTAGAATAGCCACAGAAAATCCGACTGATACAGTGAAAACAGTCTCAGTACCCAAACAAGCACACATACACACACATATATGCAGGTAGCATTAAGGCTTAAAGCTGCCTTCTCACACCAGAAGAAATTATTGCACTGATACTTTTGGAATATGTGTTCTGGGTCACAGGTATTTGAGGATAAAAGAAGTGCAGCTCATCTGACCAAGCAGTCAGACCAACATGTGCCTTTCTTTGTGATGAGGGCTGCATCCAAAGCACTGCAGAACAGTAAATGTTCTTGAACAAGCAGCAGCAGGTTTAAACACTAAATAACATAAATAATATAACGCAACGGAAATCTAACTTTAATGTGGTACTATTTATTTTTACGCCTCCATTGCTTTATTCAAATTACCTTTTTTTCTTTGTATAACATCTACATCTTTTCGTGGTGATAACTTCAACATACGATTAGCATATATATTTTTTGCTTCAAGTTCTCTTTCTTTTTCCTGCAAATGAATTAAATATAACAGATTGAATATTTTATTTACTAGTCACTAGCAAAGTTGTAAATAAGATTACTGCTATCAGTAAAAAATGGATTAATGGCATCAAAAGTTAAGCCCAAAGTTTTAAAGAGAATGACCACATTTGTAACTTTTCATGTACAATTATAGCAGCAAGAGTTTTTTCTCCCTAAAACTCATAAGCTAAATATTCTGAAGCAAGACAGCATCTCTGTTGTTAAAATAATATTTATATGAGGCAGAAATGAATGTTCAGTATCACAATCAGTTAAAAAGTTCCAGGCTAGCACTAGCATTTGTCATGCAGAGTGTTAGTGCCTCAGAGCAAGACCGCACTGCATTACAAAGACATTTACTTAATGACATGCAGGTATGAGAAATTATCTGCAAAATGTATTTTTTTTAAATATAAAACTCTCCACAAAGAAATATTCTTAATCCATGTACACTAAACAAGTTTATTAATGTGCTACTAATTCCACAGCTGGCAGCTGGTAAGGTGGTTAACTGGCAAGCCTGCATTACACTTCCACGTTTGAGACCGATGGTAATTCTTGGCTATGGATTTGGTCTTGATTTTCATAACTAACTCTAACAATAATGATTAACATGGAGACATTCTTGCTTGAAACAAGACTGTAAGGTCAGAGCACTGAGCATGTCAATCTAAAGCAGGAAAATAATTCACATGTGACATAATTAAGTGCCCATCACAATGTGCAATCACTGGTAAACTATGCAAACTTAATTACAGATTTCCAAAGATAAAATGCCAGAACACAGTCACCGTCTTTTATTGCTTGACGTTTTACCTTTAGCTTCTGATTTAACTGATGCATCTCTTCTTGGAGAATTCTGTTTTCCTCATGAGCTTCATGTACCTTTTTCTTTTCAGAAAGTAACTGTCGTTGAAAACTGCTACTACTTAGTTCAAGATTTTTCTCCAGATCCTTCAATTGAAACAGTGAAACAGTAATTTTTAAATGACGAGAATTACTTTTTACAATCCAGGTAGTTAAATTACACCTGTAAACCAGCATGTTGGATTCAGCTCTTGGTTCCACCATTAGAACGCTTGGCCCCCCCGGATTTAAAGGCTGACGTTGAGAGGGAATGCAGGCAGGGCACCTGCAGGGGCTGCAGCTCATCCTTCCGCAGTACTGAGAGGTGATTTGAGGACAGAATGGGAACACACACGACTTCTCCGTTTTATTAGCCTTTGAGGACAGATACGAAGACGACTTTCAGATCTCTAAAATGAATCTCAAACTGCCTCACAGCTTAGGATTAGAAGGAAAGAGACAAGAAATAACACCCAAACTTTCTTTACTAGAAGCAATTTTCTGATTGAAGTTTCACTTTGAGACCCTCACCTTGCAGTACTTGGTTGAAGTGAATCTGTGATGATGACAGAAGGAAAGAAGTAGAGTAACTCTCCTACTTTCTAAGGCATATTTCATTTTAATATGATCAGTACTACAAATGCTGGAATATCTGATTGTTAAACTATACTCATTAAATAATGATGCTACAAGGTGAGGTTATTCGGGTAACTCATACTATTATATATTGGGATTGATTTCATTAAAGCTTAGTTCCAGTTTATTTTTTCCCCCAATATCTACTATATCTGCGATGCATTTTAGACAATTATTAATACAGATGCATTAACATCATTTTAACGATCCACTGAAATTTAAATTAAAAGAAAAGCAGTATTGCATACAAACACCAACTATTTAATACCATTTAAAAATAAAAAACAATTTTAAATAAGATTTTTTAGTGTACATATTTGTAAATATTTTTGCTGAATAAAACTAAAATACAATGCACAATTTCTAAAATGGATAGCTATGAGATGTTCTAAAGTTCATTTTGGTATTAGAAAAGAATTACTCTCATTTTGTCCTACTCAGCATCAGACTGTGCAGAACAGAGGACAATCAAACACAGTATAAATGCAGTCAGCAAAATTGAAAAAAAAAAAAAAAAAAAAAAAGGAAAAGAGTGGTTGCATATTTTTTAAGTTTTACAATACCAGTCTTTAAATGCTCAGAAAATGTTTTTAATATATGATTCTTATTCAGGAGGACAAATTAGCCATATAAAGCTATATTATAGCTGCATCCATATCTGAAACGTTTATACCAGTTATCCAAAATATTTAAAAGAACAAGTCTACACGTACACACTGACAACATACACTTGATTTGTAAATAGTATTTTGAATGCACAAACACTGAGTATCTAACTATGCAATCACCTTGGAAATAATCTACGTGGTGCTATTCACATGTAAAAAGAATGATTTTTCAATTCGTCCCATTACTGTGAGAAAAGACGATTCATTTTTGTAAGAAATACTGGCACTTTAATTTCTTATAAAAAGGAAGCAATCTCACCTTAATTCTTTTTCCAGTGTCCTCCAGTCTGTTCTCTGCATAGGCCAATTTCTTCGCCAGGTCATCCCTTTCAGCAAGGTGTTTATCTGCAGACAGCTTTTTCAGTTTCTGCAAGACAGTTTTTGTTCGGTACAGCTCATCCTCCGAATCTCTCAGCCTCCTCTCTGTGGCACGTTCTCTCTCCTGCGATTTTCGTAAGCGCTCCCTTAATATTCTGATCTCAGTGTTGTGGCGAGCAAGGAGCTGAGAGATTTCGTTTTCGGTATCTTCAAACTTATTCAAGGCTTTCTCCTGCCTGTGCTGGAGCCTCTTGAGTGCCCTGTTTTCTTTCTGCAGCTCATCTAGTTTGATGTGCAGCTCAGTCAGCTCATTTCGGAGCTCATTGATTTTCAGCAGCCTGGCAGAAAGAACTCTTTTTGTAACAAGATCTATATCTTTTGCAGGAGAATCCCTAGTGAGGCTCTGGGAACAGAAACCCCACCGCGTCCCTCTTTTGCTTGGTGCATATTTGGAACACAGATTCTTTGTGGCTAAGAGAGGAAAAATAAAAAGCATGTTTACTGTAAGACGCTCTAATTTGTCTATCCAGGCATCCTTCTTGAAATATACCTCTGTCATAATTTTATTATACAGCAGAAACTGTAGCTTTTATAACCAAAAAAAAAGAGCATATAAAAATAGGCTGATGCTCATTTTCATAGATAAAAAATCAATGATCTTCATATCAGTATATTCTTATCACTAATAAGTCATATTTTATTAATATTCAATGCTCTTGCTTAAAATACTTAAGATAGAAAATCTGTATTCTTTTGCATACAATGTTCTTACATTTTTAAAGCAGAAATGGTTAGCTGAGCTTCAGCTGGTTATGTATTATGCAGGATGTAATTCTTCTACAGAAATGCAGCAGTATTTTTGAATCCAGCTGCCACACTTACAGACAAACCAGCAATTTTAAAGGCGCAGTGCGAAAATTCTCCAAAGCAAAATTACAAATCCCACAAAAATTCAGTCTTCTCTTAAACAATTTATTCTTGTAACAAAATTTACTTTTCACAGAATAACCATGCTTAGTTACTAGTAGTCATCACTCTTGATTCTATCTGATGTTACTATTTTATTATTAACTCCACAGATAAAAGCTGAACATTTTACTTCCATCTTACTTGCCTTTCAAGGCATACTCAAGGAACAAAACATGCATTCCACAGAAAATAACTCTTAAAACTGGGCATACTTAAAATAACTGTGTATTACACTTTCCTGTAAAGATTTTGCATTCATATCCATCCATTCTGTGTTTGATGCTCATTTTGTCCATAGCTTGGCTAAAAGCACAAAATTCCTTGCGGAATTTTGTAAGGAACGTTTCCGTCGCATTCGGGTACGAGGAGACGAAGCAGCGCACCCCGCAGGTGCGGCACCGCACCTTTCGCCAAGGAAGGGAAGTCCCATGAGCCTCACCATCTAGACTGCAAAACCTCTTCAATATGTTATCCAAATTAGAGGCAGAACAGGAAATTTCAATACCATATTTACACTTTTGACTATGACTTAAATTGGGGAACAATGTCTTTCAAGAATGACGCTACAATCACTACACCTTCAGGTAAGAATTTAGGCAGTTTTGGCTACATAATCTGCTCCTGCAAGTAGTTTGAAAGCGCCAGTGCCTCCTATCTACCTACCTTGGTACTGCACAAGGCTGTTGGAAGTTTGCGCTTTGTGATCTTTCTTCCCCTGGTTGGTAGACTGGTAGCTGAATGTTGGTGACCGATCAGATGAGTGAGATGTGTCGTCTTCATCTGAGTAATAGGAGTCACTATTTTTATCCTCATCTGATTTTCTGTCATGTTCAGAATCTGGGCTCCTTACTCTTTCTCCCATTTTTAGATTTAGCCAATTTCCAGGCTTTTCTCAAAGGTTATTCATTTTGACATGAAGGACCTTTTAGTAGCCAAAATGAAAGCAGCTGGATTACTTCCCTGTGTTTGTCATTTTCATCTCCTAAGCATGATCTTTGTAGTTCATTTTAACAAGCAGTAGTTATGATTTCAAATGCGTTTTTCTGCAGTCATCTAGAGAGAGAGAAAAAAAAGGGAGAATGGTTTTGCTGTTCAGTATTTATAGCCCAGACGTGTTAAGAAAGAAGAGCAAAAAGAACAGTAGAACTATTCCAGAAAGATTCCTACAGTCCTATATCAGTTGCTCTGGTATACTAGCTTTACCGTTTATATTAAATAGGAGAGACACCACTCTATGAATGCTGCTAGTACTGCGCTCGCTCCTTCATTTGGGGCACTTCCTCCCCAAAAGAGATATAATGAAAAGAGATATAAAATGAACACAGCTAGAAGAATAAGATATTCCCAGGTTAGGAAGTGGATAATAAGTATTTAGAACACAAAAGAGAAAACAACTGGAAGCCTGAAACTATTCAAGAAACTGAATTACACATATTCAAACAATTTTTAGTAATTAAATTAACTGCTCAGGCCTGTGATAGGACTGAAACAGTATTTGCAGAATTAGACTATACTTCATATGTCTATTTCCTACATTTTGATAATATCAATTTTTGTGCTTGAAAAACCTTTGTTTGAAGGACGTTCCATCCCAAACGCACTTACACCTAATTCTTTTGATACTGCTGCTCTTGTCTCCAGGAACTGGCACATGCATTTGCTTCACGTGTCATGGGGGAAAAGCCAAACTGAGCCTTGTGCTTTTTTGTAGCTGATAAGACAGGCTGCACTGCTAGTATATGGTAAACATTACATCTGCACTCACCTAAGTCTGGTGTAACAGTTATAATAGGAAAAAAAATAGGAAAGAAAAAAAACAGAAAAGAAAAATCCTCCAGTGTCAAGGTACTGTCACCATACATTTGCTGAGATATCCTGCACTGGGAAGCAGACATATGCAGAATTTTACTTCTCAGTCAAAAGAAATGTCTCACTAGCTCATGTGTCATTTCACCATCCATGTCCCTCATCTCCCTCACCTCCCTTCCTGGTTTTCAAGTTTATTTCACTATCTCCCTTCCCTCCAACCCAGTGACATCAGGCTTCTAAAGGGAGAATAAATAGGACTTGCATCAGAGGCCATCAGCCCTGTTTTAAATGGGTAAGCAAACTATACCCAAATAAAAACTTGGGCTGCTTTCAACCACAACTCTTCTACACTGTGGGGCATTCAATATACCTGTACCCGAGCTGTAAATATTTCACTACATCAGGTCACTTTGCTGTACCAATAAACCCAGCACCCTCCTCATCCACTGCCTATACATGCAGAACGGCAGAGCAGAAACATGTCAGCTGCCAGGAGAGTTTTCATTACAAATTCAAGCTTTCTGGCCCAATTCACTGTTGGCCCACAGAACTGTCTCCACTGACTGGGAAGCATTTGCCCTCCCAATCTGTACAGCAGGAGGCAGCAGGACAAATATCCCCACACACCCTCCAAAAATTTTAGACAGATTTCTAAACCAAGCCACTGGTGTAAAATTATTACCAAATTATATGGAAAAGAGTGTTTTCCTTTCCTTAGGGACTAACTTTCTAAAAGTGTGCTTTTAAGCACCTAAATATTTTCAAAGGGATCCAAGTAAGTCAGATGCCTAAAAATTATACCAAAAAGTAAAAAGCCCAAGCCAGGCTTGAGATCCCTTGTCCTAGGGCTTGCTAAACACATGCTGGATGGTGTCAGTGAGAATATTCTAATGATCAGTAAAGAATGCTATTTTATCTTCTGCATTAGTGCAACTATTAAATATATTTTAAAAGGATAGATCTAACCACAATCACACCTTCTGGTTCATCTGTAAGTGTATAGATGTCTCGGCAGAAGTGTTAGTGTGAAGCTAAGACAACCACGTACCAATACTAGAACATATTGAGGTGCATCCGTAGTGCCAAACAGCCCTGCTCCCAAGTCCCTGTCTCACGCTCGTGTATGCTCCTATGTGCTATCTATATGCACAGCAGGCACCTTAGCTTGCTCCTGGGCTGTCTTGTGAAGCCAAACCCTAGCTGAAACACAGGCACAGTTCTGGGGACAACCTTTTCCCTCTGGAAAGGAGGGCCCAAGGAGGAGGGATAAGGCTGGAATAAGGAGGAACAAAGATGCTGAGGCCTTGCTGTCCCTCCTCCCAGCTGCAGCAATTGGCCTCAGGGGCCAAGAGAGTGGATGGGCAAAGACAACAGCAAAGAAATGACTCCATACTAAAAAGTATATGCATATATATACATATATATATATAGACTTTGTCTCCTGTGTTAGTACCTCAACTAACAAATAGTCTTTGGATTAATATGTCTTTGTTTAGACTGTTAAGATTTGAATTAGACTGACATTAAACTTTCAGCTCTGCAAATAAGATGCATTCCCTTTCTTGCCCTTAAGAATATTCTGAACACAAATTGGTGGGAATTCAAGCAACCAATTCTTATCACTCTTCTGTCTTCAAGACTCAAAAGCACAGAAAGAAATAAACTGCACAGAGTTTTTCTTGAGAAGAAAACTTATGTGAATGAAAACAAACGGAACTGTATTCAGAGAAAAACTTAAGTATCTACAATTGAATTATCAAGAGGTCTAATAATTTTTTTTGTATAAGTTTGTATAAACATACTCACTTTAACCTATTGACCTAAAGCCGCTCAGTCATTTTGTAGCCCCACGGGTGTTCACTGAACAGGCAATAGTATTTGAAAAGAATGTTTTCATATCTCAAGAGCGTATTTAAAACCAGACAAATTGCATTCTGTAAAGCAAAGTGTAAAAGCTAAAGGATAAGAACCATCTTTCACTTCAGTACTGAATATTCCTCAGTTCTGAGGATATTCTTCCAAGCAGCATTTTGACACAGATAGAAACATAAACGAGCAGCATTTTTTGATACATTCTGAAGGTACTTTGAGATGTAATAGACTGAAAACAAATGGAAAAGGTGAACCAATAAAAGCTCCCTTGGGGAACTGCCAAAAACATTTCTGAATAATCAAATGGTTTCCATTTGTATAAATTGGTAATATTATCATATTTTCCATACAAAACAAAAAAAGCTTTAGTCTAACAGCTCTTACCAAATTCAGTTACATGCCAGTTTATAATGTAGTATGAGCAGCATAAGTAGTGTACAGTTTATTGTGAGAATGAACGAATCACTAGGATACTTGAGTTTTACTTCAGTAGGATAAGGGCCATCTAACTAAGAAATGTTTTGGTTCATTGACTTTTTAACTGTTAAGAACTAATTTTAGTTGATTACATGAAAGTTCAACCTAGTTCAGAGGTGGAAAATCCACAGACATCTATGTTCCCTTGGTACATTTAATAATTTTGTGAGGAGTGAAGCATTATGGCTTAGTAATGAGCCCATTAAGTTGAAAAAGGCTGCACACCTGCTTTTAGAAGTCTAATGCAGCAAAATCAGATCAATCTTAAACATATTACACAAATCTGAGCCTTGCACAAACTTCAGAGAGTTTTCATTCAGCAGCTCGCACCTATGATGTTACATGTTGTGCACAGACACCATGCTCCGTGCTACAAACACCAGTCACCCTCCAGCCACCGCACAGCAAGGGACAGAAAACAAGGCAGAGGACACAGAACAACTGCATCGATGACAGCAGGCTGCTGCCCCCTCACTCATCAACACAGAGATTAAACTATTGGGTTACAGACATTAAGGAATGTAGAGAAAGTAAAAATTACTCGGTAATTCTTCTTCTTTCACAGTAGATCCCAAGCTTCGTTCTCTCATACGAGACTCATACAACTTCCAAGTCCCTCACGATCCTAATGCTCTCCAAAGGCCAGGAAAAGTGAGATGCTGCTACTTGTCGCCCCAGGCCGCTTCCTGGTACTGCTGCTGCCCTTCAATGGTCCTCGCTGCTTTTCCACCTGGCCGCAGGGAGACATGGAGAAAGCGCCAGACTCAGACAAGGACAAAAGCACCAATCCGCGTTACTGAAGCGCTGGATTTCAGTGCACAGAGTTACGTTAAATGAAAGCAGCCTCTGCCCTTGGCTTCCAGCTGGCCTTTTCACATCCAGAAGCAGCAGCTCTTCCAGGAGAGAAGAGGAAGGGGATTCCCTTACACTGCACACGGTCACGGATGGCACTTACAGGGGGCACGGGCAGGTTACCGGGACCCTTCCCACGGCTGCCAGCAGAACCGTAACGCGTTTCTGTTAGACCCGCCACCCTGCCAGCGAGCAAAACGCTACAGGTTCCTAACAGCCAGCTCCGCAGCCGCCCGTGTAACTGCAACACTCAGCGCGACCCTCTCCCACGAGGGTCTCCCAATGCAAGAGTGGCAACAGGTACAAGCCCTGCGCCGGGACGGGGACGAGGTGGCCCGGCCTCAAACCCCGCAGCAGGAGAGGCGCCATCGCCCGTCCCGCTCCCACCGGGGCCTCCACAGGCCACTCGCCCACCAGAGGGGTTAGCTCCATGGCGGCGAATCCCTCAGCGAACAAAGTGAATTTCTTTTCTTTTTTTTTTCTTTTCTTTCTTTTACAACTAACACTTTCCAAAACAACTACGGGCTCTCCCTGGGGCGGACTCTTGCACCCGAAGGATGAAAGGGACAGGGAAGAGGCAGG